CGGCATGGAGGTGTATCTATCGTTGCGAAAGCTGTATTGGAGAAAGGTCCTACTGCCAGGCTGCCAGACAAACCATTGCGCTTGCCCTGCAGCATTAAAATGATCTTGACAGCGGTGGCACGAAATGCAGATGCCTTGGTAAGTCTTCAACAGTTGCAGACTTGGTGGGGGCAGGCTATTCGCGGTCGCCACATTAACGATTTGGCTTGGAAGTCTTCGCACGAATTTTGGAGCGGGCAGCATTGTGCATGCGCCGTGTTGGGTGGCCAATTGCTGATTGGCGTGCGTGGCGAGATCACCGAGGCACGGGGGTTCCGCTTCAGCGGCTCGCGCCAGGCGTCGCGGAGTTTCTCGCGTCACTAGGGCTCCAACGACAAGATGAATGGCAACTTGCTGAACGTCGCGAGCTGCCAGAAGGGGCGCGCATGGCTTTCGAGATCCTCAGGCCTTTCGTCCGTGCCAGGAGGTATTGGCGTGGTCGTTCGCCGCCGGTGCCTGCTGGGCTCGAGGGCGGGCAAGTCTGCGAGGTTACGATACGAACAGCAAGTGCGACTGTGGCCTCGCTGACACTATCCACCATCGCCTGTTCACGCGCAGTGAAGGTCGCTGCGGTCCCGGCGCGGGCGGAAGCAGAAGCGCTGGCAAATTTCATCCAGATGGGCTTCGACAGCAACGGGGAGATGATCTTCAGCAGCGGATCGCCGACCTAGATCGAGAGTTTCCTCCGCTGGCGCCTGGCACGCAGTCCTTCGTCGTTCAAATGAATGGCATACTGGTGGTCATTGTCCTGAGGAAGTTGTTCAGCGAGCCTGCCCAGAGGCCACTGTCCTTTGGCCAGCCGCCGATGCATGTTGCTCCAAACCCCATGGCCGAGATGTCTTGCAGAGTGCCCAGCATGTGACAGCGCACCGTAGCTGAGTTGGGCATGAGCAGTTGTCGCCTGAGCAGCGCCCAGTGGCATGCCAACATCGCCGTTGATGTTGCTGCCCGGCAACAAGTGTCAGTTCATCCATATGTGCCGTCCGATTTTGCCGAGCGGGTGGAAGAGCGTTTGCAGCGCACTTCTATTCGTGTTCGTCTCGCCGCTGTTGCGCTCCCGTGCTATATGCAGGAAAAGCGTTGGCGGCGGCTTCCAGTTTTTAGACTCTGTCGGAATGTTCGGCGGGAGGTGTGGCACGATTGGATGAGGACTGAGATTGGCGTGCAAGGCCGAGCGTTCCTGTCAGTTTTGCAGGACCAAGCAGTTGACAGGCCTTTGTTGGATGTAGGCCAGTTGACTGTCAGTTGCAGGACCAAGCAGTTGGGGGCACGCCTGAGTTTCTCCGCAGGTATCTCCGGCAGCCGAATGGCCACCGCCTGGTGGCGGTGCATCAGTCGGGTGAGAGATGCGAGGATGCGGGCGGTGCAGTCGATCGCCCGGTTTTCGTATGCATGCAGTGTGGAGCGTGGGCCCAGCAGAGGAGGAGACATAAGCTGAGGAGCCCATGCGTACGCCCGACCCCGAAAGGATTAGAGATCCTTCGCACATTGCGTCGGGGGATCCGGCCGAATCCGAAGTTGCAGAAACATATTGATCGTTTTGTGTCCGTCGACCGAGTTGTGCCCACCCGTCGCGCAGTGCGGATCGAGATCGCCAGCGCGGCGATTCGGCTGAAGTCGACTTCGGCGTATTCCTATGAGGTCAGGATGGCCTCGCTTGCAGAGAGAGTCTGCCAGCGAGAGGCTGCGCGACTTTCAGGCGCCTCAGCGCCGCCTTGCTGAGGGCGCCAGCCAATCGTCATGAGACAGGTCCGCCAGAGGCGCTGTTCTTGCCTCTCCTCGGCACGGTGCGGCCGGGGCAGTAATTGTCCCGGGTAGCTTTTGGTGTTTTCTTGTTTGTGCTCCATTGCTCTCCCCCAGGCCACAGTTCTCCACGAAAGTTTGCCTACTGCAGGTCGGTTTGTGTGGTGTCTCTGGTTTTCCTGGCGGCTGTCTGATTCCTTTGGGTTCTCCGACGAGAGGGGCGTTTGCAGTCCCATTCGGATTACTTGAAGCATTGCGCGATAGGGTTCCATGTGATTCACACAACTTTGCTGTTCCAGATCCTGGTTCTCGTTCCTCCTCCCCTCTTTGCCCCAATCCCCCGAGTTTTTCGTTCCTCTCGCGCTTGGTTTATAGGTTTGGCCACGTATGCCATAGGGATTATCAGAGTGAGGGGGACGGCCGATTATTCACTGTCCCTGGGTGCGTGGCTGAAGTGGGGTTCCGCGGTGCGGATTGTTGTTGCGTTGCGTTGTTTCGTTGTTGTTGTCGTCGTCCTCGCCCGCGGCCTGCCTGCAACTCATCCGCGCCATTCCGCAACCCACCCCGCGACCCACCTTGCGACCCGCCCGCGACCCACCCGCGACCGTCCAAAGTTGCTTTGACGAAAAAATCAGCGCTTGCGGCGGGCGTCGTTGTGTGCAGTGTAGACACGTCGGCGCCTGCGTTGGGCTCCTTCAGAGCTTCGCAGACTGCCGAAGACCCCGCCGCTCCCTCACTCTCATCCGCAGCTGTCGTGTGCTGCGTATGAGTCATCACGTGTGCCAGTGCGCCCAGTCCTTGCCTACGCGTCTCGGCTCGCTACTGCAGGTTGGTCGGCGCGCTAGTCCAGGCCATTGGTCCAGTTCCTCCTCTTTCCTGCATCTGCTCGACTCTTTCGCGATAGCGTCTTCGTTTCACTTGGGAGAGAGGGCGAGGAATGTCCTGCGGTAGGACAGCTTGCCGAGTTACCTGTTTCACTCTTTGACGCAATGGCACCGTTTCATGGGGGGTGTCACTGCCTTGAAATAGCAAGAGAGGAGGAAAAGGACAAGGTGGCATGTTTCGGGCGCGACCGAAGCGTGGGGTCTTACTCTCCCAGGGCAACCTAAAGCAGTTCCGAACAATGCAGTTCAACGCATTGCTTGGCATGTATTGGCATTGCTTGTCATTGTCTTTTCAGTGTTTTGCCTTACGTGGCGTCTGTTGGCATTGCTTGGACTATTTGTTTGTCTGTGCTTTGCGTTGATGGGCAATCAGTAGGCAATCATTGGCATTGCTTTGATTTCATTGTCATTGCTGGGCATTGCTTGGCGTTGCTTGGCATTGGTTCCCATTGCTTGACACCGCTTGGTAGTACTTGGTTTTATTTTGCCTTGTTTTGCATTGCTTGGCATTGCTTGGCACTTTCAGATGTTGCTTCTGATTGGCTGTGCATTGCGTGGCATTGCCTGACGGTGCTTGGCATTGCCGGGAATCGCTGGTTTGAATTATTCGAATTACTTGGTTTCGATTGGCACGGCTTGCAATTGCCGTGCAAAGCCTGGGAGCCCCAGGGGACCTGGGGCATCTTCGGGGGCCGCCATTGGCAAGCAACGCCGAGGAACACTGGGAACGCGGGCCAGGTAGGGCCCTGCACCGATGGCGCTCTTTCACAGACAAGTAGGACAGACAACTTCGGGCAAGGGGAAATGGAAGCCGAGTCGGCACGGCTACGGTGTTCTGGTTACCGTGATGGCAAGTTTTGTTTTGCACGTTCAAATTATGATTTGAGGATGTAAGATCAGCATGGTTGCGCATGTTGCGTGGGCAAGTGTGCTGTTGCATTCACAAGTGGCCATGGAGGTGTACATAAGTGATAGTCATTTCTTGATGCGTTGAAGCGCTGACCGAGAGGATCAAATTCTGAATCTGGATTGTGACGCGCACGCAAGCAGAATTAAGAGGGAAGAGAAGAGTTCCCGCTTTACTCGACGACGGCTTCGTGCGGCGCGTGCTCGATGTGTCATTCTGCCGTGCTGTCAGCCAGATGGCGCGCGTGGCCATGAGCTGAGCACTATCGCCAGTGATTTAAGACTGGACAGTGACTACAAAGGAATGGAGAATTGGGCGAGAGCCCATGGCAGCGTGCTGCAACGCCAATGGCAGAGGCATCACTTCGCAAGGGCAAGTATAAAACAAGACACCGCTGTGGCCAGAAGAGCGTGTCAGGTGGCGGCAAGCGCCGAAGAAGTAACACGCATGAGAGAATCCAAGGGCGGCCCTAGGGAGGGGAGGGGCCCGTCGGAACAACAGGAGGGCGACTGGGGGCGAACCACGAAGAGAGGGCCTGATTAAATCCCGGATGGACCAGTGAGACAACAGCGCAAACATACACCTGAACTGCCAAAGCGAAAGGCAAACCCTGCCAAGCAGAAAGTGTGAGCCAACCGGGGGTGGGGGTGCAGGGGGCCCGTGGGGAGACCACGGTGGGAAGGAACATGTGAAGTCTGACAAAGCACAAGTGAATGCTCAAGTAGACAGGACACATCCAATCCGGCTCTCACGAACTGCGACGTGGGCAGTATGGCCTTGTAGAGGGGAGTGCCCGGGATGGGCAAGGTAGACAGAGGCCGGGTGGCAGAAACGGAGAAGCGATTGGAGGTGACCCACGAAAAGCGAGCCTAGCTTGCGATCGACACAGACGCACACAACATGATGCGTAAGCGGAGCAGAAGCAAGACATGTTGAATGAGAGACTGCGGAAGGCTTGATACCAAAAGTATTGCAGCCTGCTCTCACGAACTGCACCGTGGGCGACAGAGCCGAGAATACCTCTGAATGGGGAATGCGCGGGATGGGCAGCGAAGACAGAGGCCATGCAGCAGAAGGTAAAGCGAACGGGGGCCACCCACAACAAGGGAGCTTGCCTGCGATCGAAACTGGCGCACACAACAGTATACCTGAGCGATGCAAATATCTGAAAATACCTACGCTGAACGTAGACCTAGGCAGATGCCCGCGGGACCCGCGAGCGTGCTGAGAATACGCATCGCAGAAACGCACGCGCGGCGGGGAGCTCTGCATGCCGACTTGCGGAGAGAAGAGAGCGAGGAGGGAGAGGAGGCACAGGGTGGGAGTGGGATGAGAAGAATTGAGAGAAGGGTAAGGGGGCTCTTTCTAGGCGTGTCTGCTGCTTCTCGGGACAGAACGGCCTCGGATTCCATGCTCATGGCAGCCAGGTGCAGCCACTCAGCCAGTGTATTCATGTGCTGCGCGGCCACACCGACGGCGTAAGCTGCGTGGCCGCCGTTGGGTTGGAGCGCCTGGCCAGCGGCTCCGCAGACAAGTCTGTGAAGGCGCACGCCTTAGCTCAAAGGCCCAGAGAAGCAATTGCGGATTGGAGGATGGATGGAATGACGATGAGAACGAGGAGGAGGAGGAAGTGTGGATGAAGATAAGGGGAGACAGCACTACAGGAGGAGGAGGAGGAGGAGGTGGAGGAGAAAGAGGAGGAGGAGGAGGAGGAGGAGGAGGAGGAGGGATACAGACATTGGCTATGCAATACTATTAACAGGAGGACACATCTGACAAGTACGATTAGAGGGGGGGGAGGAGTAGCAGGGTTTTCAGGGCTCAGGCGGCGTGGAGGAATTCAGAGGGCTCGGAGTGCTCACGGCTCAGGCGGAGGAGAAGGAGGAGGAGGAGGAGGAGGAGGAGGAGGAGCAGGATTCTCATCACCAACGTGACTCTTCGAAGGTTGATCGGGCCCTGGAGGAAGCAATCCCCGCGCGAAAGAGCGCGTAGCAAGCAAACACCAATTTGCGCGCAACAAACGGCATATTTGCACGGGAACATGGGACCGCCATGGTGGAAGCACGTTTTCACAGTGGCTACCCACTCACTATGGCCGTTGGCCCAGTGGCGAGTTCAACTTCTCTGCGCCGCCGATTGCAGTCAACGCATGCTGACCAAAACAACACACCTCGCTCAACTCGTTTTGGGTCTACCTCGGCGTCTTGGGGCGTGGCGGCTCTCTTGGCTGAGCGGACAAACTACTGGGGTCGAATCCACGTTGCCTCACTAGGTCGGTCGTGTTTGGTATTACCAATGGGACGAAGCTTGAATCTGGAAGTTCCCCCGAAACCCGAACATGGGCAGGGCCAAACCCGAAATCCCGACAGGGGCGAAACTCGAAAACGCAGGAGGCCCAAACCCGAAACTCCAGGAGGGACGAGGTCCGACAAGCTGGGAAGGGGCCTACAAAGTAAAGCTGAGGACGGGATCTCGAATGAGGCAGGGCGGGGTAGTAGGCGGCAGCAGGAGGTCGGAGGAGTGGGAGGGGGCAAGAGATGGTAGCAGGGACGAGGAGGTAGGACGAGCCAGGGTGCAGCTGGAGGAGGCTGGTGGACGTAGGATGAGGTGGGACAAGGCAGATAGAGGTAGGAGACCTACTAAGGCAACGGAGAGGGTAGTAGGGCGGTAAAAAGTTTGCACGTGGATGTCTTGGGCTTATCGGGTTATGGGTAGCGCGTCGGCGAGTGGTGTTTTCCATCGGGAACCTCAGCGTGGTCCGTTTGTGCTTTCTGCGATTTCGGCGGTTGTCTTAAGGTCTTCTTCGTTGTTTGTTGACCTGTCGTTGCCCTGTTGCGAATGGAGTTGCGGTGTATTTGTTCCCGCCACGCGGCGTTGTCGCGTGGCGAATCGAATGGAACATATGGTTCCGCATCCCAGGCGTTGCTGCGTGGCGAGCATAATGAGATGTGTATATGTTCGGTCCGCGCGACATTGCCGCGTGATGAATAGAGCGGAGGTGTACTTCTTGGTTGCTCCCCATGCCGTTGCCACGTGGCGAGTGAAGTGGGATAGTAGTATTGTTTGTCTCTCAGGCCTTGCCATGTGACGTTGCCATGTGGAGAGAAGAGTGGAGTAGCACGTGCTCCTCGCTTCGTTGCTACGTGCCGAGTAGAGAAGAAATTGAGTGTCGCCCCGCAGGTGTTGCCACGTGCACGAGACGAGTATAGTGCAGTAGTATTTGTTCCCCCTTTCCGCACGTTGCCTCGTGGCACTGAGAGTGGAGCAGTGTTTCGTTCCCTTGGCATTGCTACGTGGCGCGCGCGAGCGGGCGCGCGCGCGGGCGGGCGGGCGGGGGGCGGTCGCGCGGGCGGGCGGGCGGGCGCGCGGGCGGGCGGGCAGGCAGGCGGCCGGGCGGGCGGCGGGCGCGCGCGCGCGCCAGCGGGCGGGCGGGCGCGCGGGCGTTCGCTCCGCCGGCGCTGCCACGTGGCGAGCACAGTGGAGCAGTATTTGTTTTCCCCTCCGAGCGCTCTCGTGCGGCGAAGAGATAGGACCAGTATTTGTGTCGCTCCCCCGGCGTTGGTTTCCGTCCCGCAGGCGTTGCCACGTCGCGAGGGGGAGTGGAGTAGCACGTATACTTCGCCCCCCAGGCGTTTGCCACGTGGCCGCCCCGCAGGCTTGACCGCGTGCCGAGTAGAGGGACGAGGGAGGAGGAGGGAGGAGCGAGGTGGGAGGTGGGACAGGAGGCATGAGGCAGGAGGGAGGAACGAGGCGAGAGCAGGAGGAGGATGAGGAGGAGGAGGAGCAGGAGGAGGAGCAGGAGGAGGAGCAGGAGGGAGGAGGAGGGAGGGAGGAGGCAGGAGGCAGGAGGCAGGAAGGAGGACTAGCGAGACGAGGCAGGAGGCAGGAGTAGCAGGGAAGAGGGATAAGGGAGGAGAGAGGACAGGAGGGTTGGAGGCGTGGGAGGACAAGCGAGGAGGGCGAGGAGGAGGTGGAGGGAGGAGGGGGAGGTGTGAGGTTCGGCAAGAGGACGAGAAGCTCGGGGACGAGCGAGGAGGAGAGGTGGAGGACGAACGAGTAGCGGGAGAAGGGGGGCTACATGAGGAATAGGAACGCAGCACAATGCAATGCAACGCATTGTGCGACTGCGCCAAAAGCATAGAATTGGTGCCAGGTTTCAGGGTGTACATCCGAAGGAGGGAGGGGGAGGAGGAAGAGGAGAAGGAGGAGGAAGTGGAGAACGAGGAGGAGGAAGATGAGGAGGAGGAGGAGGAGGTAGAGGAGGAGGAGGTAGAGGAGGAGGAGGAGGAGGAGGAGGAGGAGGAAGAGGAGGAGGAGGAGAAGGAGGAGGAGGAGGAGGAGCAGGAGGAGGAGGAGCAGGAGTAGGAGGAGGAGGACGAGGAGGATGCCGGTTCTTAGGACTCCCTGGGATGAGAAAATCGTCGGCACAGTGGTGGAAGGAGGGGGGTGCGGATTGGAGGAGGAAGGACATCGACGGCTCAGGGGATGGAGATGGAGAAGGAGTCCTCCTGCCGCGCGCCTGATCGCTCTGGCTCGGCTTGGTGGCCGCTTCGGGGGAGAGAGTGATGAGGGAGGAGTGTGACAGAGGGGGAAAGGGCCTGCGGGCGGGCGGGTAGGCGAACGGGCGGGCGAGCGTGCGGGCGGGCGGGCGGGCGAGCGGGCGGGCAAGCAGGCGGGCCCGCGGGCGGATCGTTGGGCGGGCGGTTGGGCGTTTGTTCGTTTGGACGGGCGGGCGGGCGGGCAGGCGGACAGCGTCGTCGTCGTCATCGTCGTTGTCGTCGTCGTCCGTCGTCGTTGTAGTCGTCGTCTTCGTCTTCGTCTTTGTCTTCGCCGCCGCCGCCGTCGTCGTCGTTGTCGTCGTCGTCGTGGCCGTCGTCGTCGTCGTCGTCGTCGTCGTGGTCGTCGTCTTCGTCGTCGTCGTCGACGTCGCTCGTCGTCGTCGTCGTCGTCGTCTTCGTCGTCGTCGTCGTGGCCGTGGTCGTCGTCTTCGTCGTCATCGTCGACGTCGCTCTTGTCGTCGTCGTCGACGTCGTCCTCGTCCCCGTCCTTGTCCTCGTCCTCGCCCTCGTCTTCGTTGTCTTCGTCCGCGTTGGAGCCACATGCCGAGTAGATGTTGGTGTTCTCCTCCGCGGCGTTGCCACGTCGAATACAATAGAGTAGTTATTTTTCGTTGTGCGGTTCTGCCACGCGGAGCGCAACGTTTGTTGTATCTTGTTCGCCAGCCTGTCGTTTCCCCACTGCGAATGGGGTGAATCCAAGGCGTTGCCACGTGGCGAATGTAATGGAATACGTGGTTTCGCCCCCCAGACGTTGCCACGTGGCAAGTACAGTTGGATTGTATATGGTTGGGCCGCGCGGCATTGCCACGCGATGAGCTGAGTGGACTGATACTTGTTGTTGGTGTTGCCACGTTGCGAGGGAAGTGGGATAGTATGTTTGATTACCTCTCATGCCTTGCCACGTGGCGTTACCATGTGGCGAGTCGGCAGGAGTAGCATTTGTTGCCGCCCCGCTCTGTTGCCACGTGACGAAAAGAGTGGAGTCATGCTGTTTCGCTCCGCAGGCGCTGCCACGTGTTGAGTACAGTGGTGTAGTATGTGCTCCCCCCTCCGAGCGCTGCCACGTGGTAAGGAGAGTGGGGCAGTATTTGTTTCGCTTCCTCGGTGTTGCCACGTGGCGAGTCGTGGAGTGGAGTAGTTAGCGTTTCGCTCCCCAGTCGCTGCCACCTGGCAACTCGCGTGGAAAATGAGTGTGATCCGTCCCGCAGGCGTTGCCAAGTCGCGAGGAGAGTGGAGTAGCCCAGGCGTTCGCCACGTGGCGAGTACAGTGGAATAGTTTCAACTTCCGCCCCGCAGGCGCTGCCGCGTACCGAGTAGAGGGACGTGGGAGGAGGAGCGAAGAGGGAGGTGGGGCAGGAGGCAGGAGGCAGGAGGGAGGAGGGAGCATAAGGAGGAGGAAAGAGGGAGGAAGGAAGAGGAGGGACGAGGAGGGAGGGACGAGGAAGGAAGAGGAGGGACGAGGATCGAGGAGGGAGGGGGGGAGCAGAGAGGAGGCAGAAGGGAAGAGGGCGGAGGGAGCACGAGGGGGAGAAGGGAGGAGGAAGGGAGGAGGAAGGAGAGAGGAGGGGGAGGCGGGAGGAGGGAGGAGAAGGGAGAGGAGGCAAGAAGCATGAGGAGGAGGGACGAGGGAGGAGAAGAGGGTAGGAGGCGTGGGAGGACGAGCGAGGAGGTGGAGGAGGAGGAGGAGGAGGAGGAGGAGGAGGAGGAGGAGGAGGAGGAGGGGAGGGGAGGTGGGAGGATCGGAAGGAAGACGAGGAGGACGGGGACGAGCAAGCAGGAGAGATGGATGACGAACGAGAATGGGGAAGGAGGGGGCGGAAGGAAGAACGAGGAGGGGCGAGGCGGGGTTGGTCTGAACTGGATTTTTGGGATTGGCCCCTCTCAGATTTTCGGGTTTAGGTTCGGTCGGATTTTCGGGTGTGGATTTTCGCCGCCGGTCTGCCGCCGCGGAAGGGGATGATGCTGATGATGATGATGATGATGAT